TTTTGGAAAGTTAGCTACCTTCAGCACAGCTCTAGATCTTATTCACCCGAGTCTGTAGGTGCTGTAGTAGTTTGGTTCCGGAACCTGCATGCTGATATTAGTCAGCTTTAGCTGTTTAGGCACTTATCATTCTTTTTTTTTTTTTTTTTTTTTTAATTTTTAGTTTTTGGTGCTGGTGATAAAAACCTGGGGTCCTGAGCATGCTGGTTAGGCCCTCTACCACTGAGCTATACCTCTAGCCCTCTCACCCAGGGCACACTGTCTTCTTCAAGTGACATAGACACACCTGTCCTCAGAGCATTCATACATTTCCTGTATGCCATTCCTTCTCAAGTACAGGGACATGAGGGGAGTTCTCCAGTAAAAGGAATGTTCCCAGTACTCCTTCTGTCTGGTACTTCCAGACAGTTCAAGGGTTCAGCCTTGCCTCCTTTGCTCCTGGATTCCTGCATTAGCTTCCTGGCTGTGTCCTCCCTCTGGCTGTCTCCTGCCCCCCTTGCAATCCCTTCTGAGTACAGTGCTGAGAAGGCTTCTGTCATCCTCCACAACTCCCCTGTGACTGAATACAAGCGAGATGCCGAGTAGGCTCAGCGTGCTCCCTCTGGTGCTCCCACAGCAGCACTTGCACTCCTAGCTCCCTCTCCATAACACTCCCTGCATCCTCCTGCCCCAGTGTTGCCCTCAGACATCCCTATGGCTCGTCCCCACCTCCATGAGATCTCTGCCACTTGATTTTGCTGGGAGGTCTTCTGTGACCATTCCAGTAAAACAATTGCTCAGCTCTTTCTCTGATTTATTTTGCAATTTAATGGACCTCAGATATGTTTCTCTTTCCTTTATAGAATCTAAGTTCTAGGGAAGAAGGAGTTTTCATTTTTCATTCTTTGCTTGTAGCCCCAAAATCCAGAACAATACTTACCCTTTGTATTTGTTGAGTAGACATTGCCAATTTGAACTCTTAACTCCTGTTTGGTGACTAATTCTATGGTATATGAATTACCTGAGGAGTCTAGGAAGGGCAGGAGGTGAGCCCTCTGGCCACCCAGCCTTGTCCCTGGCAGTCCCTGAGTTTAGGAGACATTGGAACTCAAGGCAGTAGAAATGACTAGAACATACCAAGCAGACAACTGATGGCCAGACAGTGCACCAGAAGGCTCAGAAATTCTCAGCGGGCTCACCTGGAACCTTGGTCTGAACATAGCACATTTTACAGGGTAAAACTGCAAACCTGGATAAAGAGTTCCGCTCCCAACATCCCCTCAGGTTCACACCAGCCAGGAGGGAGGTGACCACACAGTCACTCAGTAGAAGTATCAGTACAGAATTGCAAGATGTGAGAAAAGGCAGAACAGTACAGTTCATAGCTGGGAGGAAAACCAGAAAAACCAGGAGGGACAGATGGTAAACTAGCAGAGAAAAGATTCAAACAGCAAGTGTCACAAACAGCCCAGTTGCTTAAAGATTAGAAAACAAACCAGTTATGGTGGCTCATGCCTGTAATCCCCATACTCAGGAGGCTGAGACCAGAGAATTGCCTTGAGTTCACCTAGGCCGCATGAGACTTGTTTCAAAAACCAAACAGCAACGATAAAATCTAGCAGTCTAGCCATTTGCTGTCTTGTCTTGGACTGTTTCCCAGTCTTTCGTCCTCATGGACAACTGTTTACAACCCTTTGAGTTGCAGTTTCTTAGGAAACTGATTTAAAAAAAAAAAAAAAAGATAAGATCTCACTGTGTAGTTCTAGCTGGCCTAGAACTCTTTATATAGACCAGACTGCCTCTGCCTCCCAAGTGCTCCACCCTGCCTGGCCCATGATTATCTTCTAATTCATACATTTAGACATTTAATCGCTCTTTATCATCTACTTTATTTGCCTATACAGTGTCTCAGATGACATGCTACCTTGTTTCTGTTTCTAGAATTTTCCTTTATTATTAATAATAGCCTTTTTTTCTTCTTTGTGGAGTTTTCTGTGGGCCTGTGCTGATTCTTTCCAAACCTTCTAACAGCTTCCCAGAACAGTTTTCCATGAGGTCACAGAGGTCAGATGTCTAATTTAACTTGACCTAGTAGCCATGGCAGAGTGAAAAGAAGCAGGTGTATTCGTACCTCACCCGTTTGCTCAGATTGTTGCTTCTGCCCATACAACTATTTAAAACAAAGATCAGTTCACTCTCTGCTGTGCTCTTTCTTCAGAATCCCATGTGCTTCTTGTCTTTGTACGTGCTTTGCTGCTCATGGCTGCTGTGCATGCCATATCCTCCAGATCCATCTGAAGGCCTCCGTTCCTTATGTGAGTCTATGGGTCTGCCATGCATACACGGCTGTTGTCTAGACTCTAAACACTTGCTTCTTTTGCATCTCAATTGGAATCCCATTGCCTGAATTTCAGGTCTCTTTTCCCTGGGTGGTTTGATAAGGCATAGTTAGTGTGGGAAGAAGGCGAGCTGTGGACACTGCTCTGTCTTGTTGGGGTTGGTAAGAATCTGTCAGCCTCCGCAATTTCTGTGGAAATTTCCTTTGTCTTCATTCTCATGGGGACTACTTTCTTCCTGTTTCTTCTTTCTTGGTTTATTTCTCACTCAGATGGAAAACACTCTGGCAAAAAGAGAGCATGTATGGTGAGGTGTCAGATCCTGCATGTATGGTGAAGTGTCAGACCCTGCACATATGTTGAGGTGTCAGACCCTGCGTGGATAGTGTGAGATCCTGCGTGGATGGTGTGAGACCCTGCGAGGGTGATGTGAGACCCTGCGTGGATGGCATGAGATCCTGTGTGGATGGTGTGAGATCCTGCGTGGACGATGTGAGATCCTACATGGGTGGTGAGGTATGAGGCCTCCTGTGTGGGTGGTGAGGTGTGTGAGGCCCCACAGGGATGGTGAGGTTAGTGGCCCTACCAGGTATGGTGTAGGGAGAGGGTCTGCACCACCGGTGGGGGATGCTTTTTTGGCCCTTTTCACTTGACTGATGGGTTGGGTGTTGAAGTCTAGGCTGGAAGCCTGTTTTTCAGACTTTTGAAGGCTTGCTCACTGGCTTGCAGTATAGTGAACCGTTCTGGTCAACTGCCCTTTCACAGGGACCTGCTGCTTCTCTAAACAGACTCTAGAGCTGCATGGTCCTTAGAATGGGTCTGTTTCCATTGTTTTCATGAGCTTGATGGTTCGAGATGTTGCTGGAATACTTTAGTGCTTTGCCTGTACTTTGGCTTTGCCTTGCTTATTTACCCATTGTGTGGCTTTATTTGGGAAAGGGGCTCTCCCACTTTTCAGCTGAGCTTCTCATTCCATTTTTGTTTTATTTTGGTTCGGTTTTTGAGTCAGGGTCTCCCTGTATCCCCACGTGGCCTAAAACTCGATCTGTAGACCAGGCTGGCCTCAGTCTCACAGTGGCTCTTCTGCCTCTGACCCCTGAGTGCTGGGATTAAAGGTGTGCACACCTCCTCGTTCTTACTATCTTGTTTTATGTTACAAAAGGTATTTTTGTTTATTTTGTGATAGCGTCCTGTTCCTAATTAGTACATACGTGATCTTATCCTTTGAGTATATTAGTAATTTATATCTTAAGTCTTTCTGGTCTTTGCAGTTTGTGTCTTGTTTTCCTCTTACAGTTTGTGGGTACATCTTATCATCATAGGCTCACAGGGGATGGAGTGCTGAGCAGGTTGAGGGTTACACCCTGCTGTTGGCATCCTTTGGTCTTTGCTGCTGTCTGGTGGGATCACCTTGGGAAGCACTTAGCCTCCTATCTGAAGGAAAATGAGGCTGCTGCTGCCCTGTGAGGTCTGTAAGGAAGGCAGGCCCTAGGGTTGGGCTTATTTGTGCAAGTCACCGAGGCCATTTTGAATGGAGTACTCACACTTTGCACTGTGCCAGTTTAGTTCATCCAGAGACCTGATTTACTTCCCCAGAAAGTTGACCTCAGATTTCTACAGAGGTGAGAGTTGGCATTGCAGCTCAGAGAGGAGGGGAGGCAGATGGAATGGCATCTAGCTTTGCTCAGAGAGACCTGGCCCACCCCTGCGGCAAGTCCTCCCCTCTTTCCAGGGTGGCAGGTGTGCCAGGCCGCTTCCTACTCACCTAGACTGCTGTAGGGTCTGATATCCAGGCTTCGCTCACCAGGCCTCTCCAGTCCCCTTTTTCTTTTTTGTTTTCAATTTTTAAATTTATTTTTATGTGTATGAGTATTATACCTACAGGTATGTGAGTACACTTGTGTCGTGCAGTGCCCACAAAGGACAGAAGGCCTTGGATACCCTGGAACTGGAGATATAGACAATTGTTAGCCACCATGTGGCTATTGGGAACCCAGGTCTTTTGCAGGAGCAGCCAGTGTTCTTCATCGCTGAGCCATCTCTCCAGCCCTTGGTTCCCTTTTTCACTGTGGTGATGTTTGCAAACCTTGAAGTCTGGCGTTTTAGCCATTTGTAGGTGTGGGTTCGTGGAGTCAGTGCCTCCAGTGTGCTTGGCTTATCATTCACTCCTGATGCAGCAGATTGCCCCAGACTGCTCCCTGGGAACAGTGGGGCTCCCACAAGGGAGAGCAGAGTGGGCCTGTGCGGTTGGTCTTGTAGGCAGCCTGCTTCTATGCCTGCAGGGGCAGAGAAGGGTTGCTTGCCTCTGAGGAAAGAAGCTGGTTGGTGTGTTGGAGTGTTTCTTTCCAGAAGGTTCCAATTGGAACCCCCAGGCCTGGCATTCTGCCATTTCAAGATCTGGCCTGCCCACCATGTCCTCCAGCCATCTGTTGTTCTCCCCGTTGCCCACTCACTGTTCCTAGTTGAGGCAGGCGCAGCCCCGGTCTCTGTTCTAGGGCATTCTTGAGTGACGCACCCCCTTCCGTCTCTGCCTCCCAGTCAGACCTGGGCTCATGCCTTGTTTTCCTCCTCTGACCTTGTACATGCCTGTGAATGACCACTTTACCCTGCCCACACTGCCCAGGGCTCTTTGATATCTGCTTTTCCCTCATCAGATATTCTAAAAGTGCTTTATCCTTTTTGTAGGACATTCGACATGAAGCCAGTGACTTCCCATGCAGAGTGGCAAAGCTTCCTAAGAACAAAAACCGAAACAGGTACCGAGACGTCAGTCCCTGTAAGTACCACAGCTCACACACGCTTCCCCAGCTGTCCACTGCCCAGCTGTAGGGCGCCCATAACCTGGCTTGGTGGAGGTTAGGACTGATGTCTCCTGTCATAAACACTGGAAACTCAGGAAGGACTCACTTTCTAGTGTTGTAGAAAGGCTAAGGCTTCAGTTTCTAGAAAATTCAGCAAAGTTTAAAGTACTTCTTTTTAGCTCTGTGTTGTGGTGAGTCATTTTTCTCCCCTGGCATAGAGTGTAGTAGGCTCAGAGCAGCCTTTTTTGGGTGATTCAGCAGTAGAACCAAGTGCCCCCAATCAGGTGATGAACCACAGTGATACACAGAGGTAAATGTGCAGGTCCAGCGCCAGCAGAGCCTGTTCTTCCTGATGTTAGCTCTGACTTGTTAACAATTGGCAGTGTCCATTGGCCTTGGACCCCCTATGCTTTCTGACTGACTGGCTCTCAATCTTCCAGTGTCTTCAAAGTAAATAACTGAATGTGTTAGAGTGTGTATAAAGCAAGAAAGCTCAGAACTGGCTCAGGACTTGGATCTGCTGTTGGCTACAGAGGCCTCTTCAGCTCCCCTTGAGGTTATAGACACTATAGACACTGTCCCTCAACAAGGATTTTGGCTGCGGAGGTCTCCAGGGCTGCTTAGGCTGCTAGGGAGACATAAAGATGGGCCTAGACAGCTGATCCCTGCTGGGCAAGGGAGAGTTGATCTTCCTTAAGGGAGTGATGCTGGATAGGGACATCTGGGGGCACAAACGTGACTGAGTTGGCTTTAACATGACAGAATGCATGAAATTCTATGGGAGGGGTACAGATAGGGGAGGTGTCTAAATATGATTAAGATCTATTGTATAAAATGCACAAAAATTCAATAAAAATATATATTGAAACAAAAAAAGATGGGCCTAGAATTTGGCTTGCTGCCCCTTTGCATCTCAGCTCTGCCACTTAGAACTGGGTGGCCTTGGGAAAATTGTCTGTCTGGTCATCAGTAACTTGGGAGTCATACTTACCTCATAGGAGTATGAAAAGGTGAGGAGTATGAGCCACTAAGCCTAGTGAACATGGGCCAAGGTGGGGACACTTGTCACCAGGCCATCTGAAGTACACTTGTAGGTCCTCAGGTAAAGGATGACCAGCTTGCACCTCAATACCCTCTGCTTCCAACATAGCAAGTCTAGACTGAGGTACGTCTGAGGGGTTTGTTTAAAAAATAAAGCCAGGTGTGGGGGTGCACACCTTTAATCCCAGTGTTCAGGAGGCAGAGGCAGGCGGATGGATCTCTGAGTTTGAGGCCAGCCTGGTCTACATAGCAAGTTCCAGGTCAGCTGGGGCTATAGGGAGACCCTGTCTCAAAA